TACCCTGTCCTGCCCAGAAAGGGACCCTCGGCCAATAAAGAAATAACAGCCCACTCCCCCCTATCGCCCTCATCCCCTGCTGAGCCCATAAATATCAACACCCTGCTCGTGCTCCCCTCCCTCCCTCTCTCTCTCTCTCTCTCCCCCCCCCTTCTCTTCTGTGACCTGCTGATGTGGTCCTGCTAATAAAATCTTGGACAGGTAAACAGTTGTTTTGCTTGTTGAATTCACGGAGCCTTTCCACCACTCCTTACACTCACCACTTACCAAATAAACCTTTCCAGCAGCCCCCATGTTGAGTAGACTAATGCCACAGGAAGAAGAGGCAAGGTTCTCCTCTTGTACACCTAGAACAGTGAATATGTAGGAGGATCTTGTAAACGTATATTTGATTAATGAATGCTCCAGCTAATTCATTAAAGGAACACACTGATGTTTTATACAAAATAACAACAGCCTGGATCAAGATCAAGATGGGAAATGACTGATTTAGACTGATTTTCCATTCTCTCCTTTGCCTTCGTTTATGGTGATATGTATCATGAGAAGTCCCCAAGATGTCGTGTGTGTCAGGTTACTATGTTTGGACTATGTCAAGACTTTCTACAAAAGCAGTCATTGGAACAATATTTTCAATGGTTCATCTAAGGCACCTGTGAGTGTGTGTGACACAGATCTGCTTCCTCTACTGGACTTTCTCCTAATTTTGGGTGTGCCTTTTGTATTCTTTTTATGTATATGTTCCACCTGTGAGAGAAAGCAGACAACTCTTGACCCTGTGAGTCTGGCTTGTTTCAAGAAGCATGCTGGTCTCCAGTTCCATCCATTTTCCTGCATATGGCATAATTTAGTTCTTTCTGACCGAGGGAAATCCATTGTGTATGCATAGCACATTTTATTTATCTATTTGTCAGTCAGTGCACTCCTAGCTGGTTTCATAACTTAGCGGCTGTGAATTGAACTGTCATCAACCTGGGTGTGCTTGTGTCACTATAGTGTGTTGACTTTAATTCTGTTGGATTAATACCAAGGAGCTCTGTGACTGGATCATGTGGTTTCTCCATTCCTTGTCTTTTGAGGAAACTCAGTACTGATTTCCGTGGTGGTTGTGCTAATTCCTATCCCAATAGTGTGCCAGTGTTCCTTTCACTCATATCCCTGCCAGTATTTATTATTATTTGTCTGGCTGATGATTTTTATCCTAGCTGGAGTGAGATGCAATCTCATTGAGAAACGATGGTTCATTTGCCCGTGTATTGATTTGGTTATTTGGTTTTTGGTGTTAAGCTTTTTAATTTCTTTGTACATTGTGGATATTAATCCTGTGTCAGAAGAGTGGCTGGCAAAGATTTCCCCCATGCTGAAATCCCTCACTCCTGTCCCATTTCCTTTGCTGTGTGAAAAGTTTATAACTCGATGCCATTCCACCTATCAATTCTGGGTTTTCCTTCCTGAACACAACGAGTCTTATAGGAAGTTGTCCGGTGCCTATATATTGGAGTGTAGGTGCTATGTTTTCTATGAATAGCTGCAGTGTTTATGGTCTAATTCCTGTGTTTTTTGATCCCTCTGAGTTGATTTTTGTGCAGACTTTAGCTTCCTTTTTCTGCATGTAGATAATCAGTTTTCCAAGCACCATTTATTAAATTGGCAGCGTTATCTCCAAGATTTGCTCTTGGTGTCTTTGTTAAGAATCACATGACTCTATCTATGGGTTTGTCTCTTTGTCTTCCATTCTAATCTGTTGATCTATGCATCTATTTTCATATTAGTACAATGTTTTGTCGCTACATACCTTTGCTATGATTTTTCTACCAATGACATAATTTCATTCTTCTTTATGGCAGAATAAAGCCCCTGGTACATATACATACCCTATTTTTAAATCCATTCATTGGTGGAAGGTTGATTCCTTAACTTGGTTAGGGGACTCTCACTGGCATAAACAGGGGTGTGCATGTGGTGCTATACAGGATGCTGACTTGAATTCCTTTGAACAAATGCCCAGGGGTGTTGGAGTTGGGTCACGTGGTGGCTCCATTCCTAGGCTTTGGAAGAACCTCCCTCCCTATCTCCATCGTGGCTGTGCTAATTTCTCTTTCCACCAACAACACATGGGTGCTCTTTCCTCCGTGCCCTCACCAAAATTTGTTAATATCCTTGATACTTGACATTCTAACTAGAGATGAAGTCTTACTGTAGTTTTAATTTGCATTTCACTGATTGCTAAGAATATAAAACATTGTTTTATATATATGTTGACCATATATATTTCTTCTTGTGGGAAATGTATGTTAAATTTTTTGCATATTTAGACATTGAAGTAGTTTTTGTTGTTAATGGGTTTTTTAAATTTTTTTTTTGAGTTTCTTTTATTTTTACATTCTGTAAGAGTAGCCAGCAAAGATTATCTCCCATCATTTAGCATCTTTCTTTGCATAGCTCTTTCATTGCTGTGCAAAACTCTTTTAATTTGGTGTCTTTCTATTTGTTAATTCATTGTTTTATTTCCTACATTTTAGGAGTCTTATTGAGGAAGTCAGTGTCTGCAACTCTGTGTTGGAGAGTTGACCCTATGTCTTCTTCTAGCAGTTAATAAGTTTCTGGTCTGACTCTAGGTCTTGACCCACGAAGTTTTGACTTTTATATGAAGATGAAGTACAGGGTCTACTTCATGAATTTCTTGGGGAATCTCTCTGGGTGACATGTTAGGAATACCCCAGTTAAAGAATGAGTCGGGAAGAACAGATTGTGGCAGTACAGTGAGAGCCTCCTGTGCCAGCAGGGATGACTGCATACCGTACACAGCAGGTCCTCAAGGGCACTGGGGATATCTGTTGGCAGTGCAGCACTGAAGCAGGAGTCACCCAGGGTTTTCCATGTACAGCGTGAACTTGGTTATCACTGAGAACAAGCATACCGCAGCACAGAGCTGGACTCAGGGTTACTCAGAGATTGCTCTAGTCCAGAGGACTGTGGACTCTGCTGTCCCTAGGACATAAGAATGGTCCAGGACAGGGCACGGATAGAAGTTCAGTACTGAGCTTGGACTCTGGTGACACTGTGGGATCCAGCAGAAAGCATAACTCGGATCACACCTGGTGACAAATGTAGGCCAGCAGGTGATTCAAATGAACTATATGTAAGTGTCACCACACTCTACACACAGGGACCCTTCCCAATAAATTTAACCATTTTAACAACAACAGCAACAAAAAATCAAACAGTCAATTCTCAGAAGACGAAATACAAATGGCCAACAAATATATAAAAGAAGTTCCACATCCCTAGGTGTCACAGATATGCAAATGAAAACTACATTGGGACATCTACTCACACTAGTCAGAATGATGAGCATCAAGAACACAAATAACAAATGCTGATGGGGGGGGAGGGGGAATGGGCCTCATCCACTGTGGGTGGAACTGGAAATTAGCCCAGCCACTCTGGAAAGTGTGAGAAGATTCCTCAAAAGACTAACGGAACCCAAGGTGACCCAGCTATTCCATTCCTTGATATTATCCTTCTCTAAAGTCAGAATACTGTAGGGACACAGCCACATCAAGGTTTATAACAGTGTAACTCACGAGAGCCACGTTTTTGGCACTAGCCCAGGAACACATCAGCAGGTGGATGGATTAAGAAAATGTAGGATATAACTGTGATTGCTATAACTTTTAGAATTATTTCGCAATACTAGGAATAAAATAAAAGTCATGAAAAAGTGTCTCCTTTTTAAAAAGGTAGCTCTTGTGGCTGGGCTTTTGAATCAGGGGTAGAGCACTTATCTAACATGTGGGAGGCCCTGTGATTGATCCTGAGCACCACAAAAAAAAAATAAATAAATAAGGAAAACAAAGTTTTAAAGAAAATATATCTTTCAATTAAAAAATTAGCGTTCTTTCTTCATATACATATCTTTCTGTCTGTCAGAGAACTGGTATCCCCCTCCAATGTTGCCTATTGGATCCACTTTTCCTTCAGCCAGAATACTACTCATGCCCAATTGTTGGTCATTCTCCACAAGATACACTCAGCAGTCTGTGGCCACATCATATTTAGGGTCAGTATCAACAGCTCCTAGTGTCATACACAAGTGCTCAGTCTATTGATACACCCAAGGATTAACAGGAAGCGTGGAAAATGTTTTTTCTCCTGATTTTCATACGTTCTACATGAAACTCTGTTGCCTTCTACGTGGGGTCTACGTCAGGCATTAGGATTCCACTGGATTCCCTTTTAGCTGACAGAAGCCCATGGGGACTGATGAAAATGTCAGTGTTCTTTAAGCAATTCTAGGATCAGTAGGTCCCTTATTTATGGGCCCTGGGATGGGCGTGTTGCTGGAACATGCGAAGCTGTAGGCCTCGCAAGTCCCCTGGCACTGAGAGTGCTCGACCAAGGATGAGGCAGAGCTTTGATGGATCCTTGATGTGGTAGACATGAAAATTCTCTAAATCAGCCTCTAAATCCTGACAGCCTGCAGCCCACTCCCACAGGTTAATCAGAAGGTAATGGAGGACTGGACCCTGGAGTCAGTGACAGTCCACCCTCCTATCTGCTGACTCTGAAGCAGGTTCCTGCCCTTTAGCCTGAGAATCTTCAGTCCATTGTCCCTCTGTCTGCTTTCAGGCTATTATTTATACACTGTGTCAGTGGGTTGCATGTAAAAAATCTACTTTGAAAACTCTTCAAATGCAAATAAATGAGAAAGAGTGGCTTTCTCAGGTCTCGGGGATTCATCAGTGGGGTTATTTTGCAGCACTTGCCAAGGCGTCCTGTCGTGAGATCATGTTGAGGTCACGAGGCTCATGTTCTCTGAATGAGTCCAAAACTGATCAACACAATGAAACTTTGGACTACCAGTCACCATTTGGTTTTAGATACAGTTGAGCTGATAACAAAAAAAGTTAATGATTCTTTCAAATCATTAATGATTCTTTTTGAATTTCCTTAAAGTAACACTGAGTTTAAAGTCCAATCTCACTATCTCCCACAAGGTCGAAAGGTGTGAACCTCAGCACCAGGCACAGAGGAATCATCATCATGACAGATGGCTACCTGTGGTTTGAAGGGTTACCTTTCCCTTCTATTGATTACAGCTATGAAGGCCTAAAAGAAGCATGTACTAAATTTGTGATAAAGGACGAAGATACAGTAATGGTGTCATACCCTAAGTCAGGTAAGGAAACTAGAAAGGAACTGTCCAGGAGAAAGGCGAGGGCTGTGTTCCTCCCCTGCTCAGCAGATGGAGTTCATGACCTCTACAGCCAGTGAGCCCTGCTTGGGGGAGGAAGGGGCAGTGCCCCAGGCCACCACCATTCAGACTAGGACACAGTGACATAAGTGCTCAGCAGGGATCAGCTAAGCTACTGCAGGAAGATACAGGAGTGAATCCTAATGACATCCAGGCATTGTGTGGTGGCCTGGGAGAGGGGGTAGCAGAGAGTGACCAGTGAGCACTTCAGGGTGAAATACCAGCTCCATAGAAATGAAAGAGGGAGTGGGAGGCCATGGGGTGAGAGGGGGATTTTAGAGCAGGAGGGTCAGCATGGACAAGGGCTGGGAATCAGACAGGAGCCCGAGAAATTCAAGGGACTGAAAGGACATGCATCATAAATCTATGTGGTGGGCCTGGGGGCAGGAGCATTGCAAACAGGGCAAGGATTGAGGCCAGTGTCCTTGGAAGGGGCACTGTGCTGGGAAGTCACGGGAAAGGGGAACATATAAAACTGATCTCAGCAAACAGCCAAGAAAAGGTGGAGCAACTTAAAATCCTTTCATAGATGAATGCATAACAAAATGTTGCATGTTGATACAATGGAATACGATTCAGCCATCACAAGGAAGAATTATCTGATACATTCTACAACATGAAGCAATCTTGAATGAGTCATGCTAAATGCAACATTTTGGGCACAAAGGGACAAATACTATAGGATTCCACTGGTGTAAAATACCTAGTGTTCATAAAAAAAAAAAAAAATCATGGGTTCCAGAGACCAAATATGGAGTAACAAGGGAAATGTTGTTAATAAGCTGAGAGTTTGAGTTTTTCAAGGATAAAAGTATCTGACATTGTAAGAGCAAAATCAGGAATGTGCTTAATACTGCTTAGCACTACCCGACTGCATGCTTAAAATGGTAAAGTTTATGTTATGGTAAAGTGTATATTATGCATTTTACCATCATTTTTTGTTCTCAAGTCATGTTGAAATGAGTGACAATCACTTTTACTTTCTTATCTAGGAACCCACTGGTTGATTGAAATTCTCTGCCTGATCCACTCCAAAGGCGATACCACATGGATTCGATCTGTGTCCATCTGGGATCGTGCACCCTGGTTAGAGATAGATACAGGATACAAATTGTTAAAGGAGAGAGAGGGCCCACGGTTCCTGACCTCTCACCTCCCCTTCCATCTCTTCCCTAAGTCTTTTTTCACTTCCAAGGCCAAGGTCAGTGCCTAATGTTTGATCAATGCTTTTTCCCTTCCATGTGCCTAGATAACCCCTGCAGATCTTGCTGGGGTGTGTGCTCACTGGGTAGGTTGGGTGAGACCTGGGATAATAGTTTAGGTTGATGTGGCCACAACCAGACCACACTTGAGTGCAAGAATGTGAGACATTGCATAGATTATTCTAGCCTGAATTCAGGTGTGAAGGGACTGGCTAAAGTCAGAATCTTAGAAAACTACAGTTCCTGTGTAACCTGAATTATAACTGCAAGAACACTAGAGTATCCCAGCCTTGCAGCTCTTTAAGACGTCAGCCTGTATTAATTCAATAAAAGCCTCCTGCCAGGTAGGTGGAAGCAGACAGGTCAGTGTTGCCCACATGGGGAGCGGAGCACGCACACCACATTGATAAAGCATGAATCCAGGGGCGGCTCAGGACTGGTGGCCAGCTATGTCTCCATGGCAGCCCAGGGCATGCCACTGTGTTTTGTGATTAGCAGCCACTGCAGCCTCCCACTGGCTGACAGAGGATCAGCACAGACCAGGGATATCCCAGATCTCTTGGTCAACAGACTCTTTGTAGAAAAATACCTTTGTAAAGTGTTTGTTGACTTCTGAAATTTTTCATGTTTTTGTTTAAACATCACCAAGAAATCTAGAATACTAATCTCCACTCTTGTAAATGTCATAAAGTATATAACAGTGAGCCTGCTCCAATAGACCCATATCCATGTCTCCTGTTGGGTTTCTTTAACCCCTGCCCAATTCAACTGAGGTCTAAGGAGACCTAAGACCTCCAATAATAACACCAGGAAAGTTGGTGCAGATACAAAGTCAATTGTGATGTTCAAGTACAAAATAGTGAGTGTGTGTGTGTTTGTGTTTGTGTGTTCACTAATCTTAAAAACCAGCCTCTTAATATGTACATATGTATACAGTTAGGCAACTATCCCCCAGACAAGACTAGAACATTCCTGCTGTCCAGACAGTTCCCAGGCTCCTCGTACCCATTAGTGCCCACCACCTGAGGGAAACTCCCCCTGCACTTCAGCTGCAGATTGCTTTGGTGTATTCCTGAATTTTGTATAAGGCATCCGTGCTGCATGGATGTCCTATCTGTGAGCTTCCTCCATGGTCTTGAGTGTGATAATGACTGTGTGTTGCTATGAAGGTGAATATACCATCATTGATCAATTCATTCTGCTGTTAGTGATCATTAAAAGCACACAAGTGCCTCACCAACACCATCTAGAACTTTCCTGAAGGCTCCCATGTTGAGTAGCCTAATATCCAAGAATGAAGAGGCAAGGTATGACATGAGCATGTAATAGGAAACTAAAAATGTGTATCTGAAGAATGAATGATATAAACAATTCACTAAAGGAATCCATTGATGTTCAGGAGATATTAAGTAAGAACTGCCTGGGTAAAGATCAAGATCAAGGTGGGAAAGGACCGATTGAGACTGATTTTTTTCTTTCTCTCATTTTCCTTCATGTAAGGTGATATATATCATGAGAAATCCCAAAGATGTCCTCGTGTCAGGTTACTATTATTGGACTACAACAAAATTTTCTAAGAAACCAGAGTCACTGGAACAATATTTTCAGTGGTTCCTCCAAGGCTACGGTGAGTCTCTGACCTACAGATCTGCGTCCACACTGCTCTCCTAATTGTTTGGCATGACTTTTCTGCTCTTTTCTGTGTATGTCCCATGTATGAGAGAAAACAGACAACCTTGACGCTGTGAGCCTGGCTTCCTTCAATGAGCATGCTGGTCTCCAGTTCCATCCATTTTCACACCAATTTGTGTCTTCACACATGTACTTTGGATAATAATGTCCATCACATTCCACCATCATTTCTAACCCCAAGCACCCTCCCTTCCACTCTCACCCCTCTTCCCTATCTGGAGTTTGTCTGTTCCTCCCGTGCCCCCCCCTCCTACCCCACTATGAATCAGCCTCCTTATATCAGAGAAAGCATTCTGCATTTGATTTTGGGGACTGGCTAAATTCACTTAGCATTATCTTCTCTAATTCCATCCTTTATCTGCAAATGCCATGATTTTCTCTTTTATTGCTGAGTAATATTCCACTGTGAGGTGTTAAGATTTTTGAATTCTTTATACATTCTGGATATAATCCTCTGTCAGAAGAGCAGCTGACAAAGATTTTCTCCCAATTTTTCAGCCCTCTCTTGTCTCCTTACCATTACTGTAAAAAAGCTTTTTAGATGGATGCCATTCCTTTATCCATTCTTGGTTTTGTTTCCTGAACATGAGGAGTCTTATGGACGAAGTTGTGCCTGCACCTGTATGTTGTAGTGTAACCATTGTTTTCGACTAGTACTTATGGGGTTTAGGGTCAAATTCCTGTTTGCTGATCCACTTTGAGTGTAATTTGTTGCAGCATTTAGCTTCATTCTTCTACATGTTTTCTTAGTACCATTTATTAAACAGACTGTGTTCTCTCCAATATTAGGTTTTGGTGTCTTTGTTATGAATCAGATGATTGTATCTGGGTGATTTGTC